ACGAAACGGGAAAGAAAGGAAAGAAACATAGCCATGTCCTTCTATCAACATCTGGTGCTCGGAGATATTGAAATGTTGGGACTATATGTCTCAGCTTCTTTTGTCGTATCTTTATTTTAAGGAAATGAATTCGCTGTGGATCAAGTATTGGTAAATAAAAGAGAGAAGTAATAGTGAAAGTGTCCTTTTTTATATACATATATGGCCTTGCCCTTGGTATAACAACGTGATGGCATTTGTTTTGAAGTGCTCTCCTACAAGTTTTTGGGTTCCTCTCCATGTTGACAATCATTTTGGATGGTTATCCACCTTGACACACGTTATTGGAGGGTTGAGTTTTTTTTTTTTTGCAGGTCCGTTCTCTTCTTGATTTATTTTCTTTTTGGCACCAGAGTGACAGTTGCAAGACTTGTGATAAAAAAGATGATAGAGACTTAAAAGAGTGTCACCAGCATCCATCAAGGTAAACTAGTTGTGTTGACTGGTGTTGGAACTTATTGCACGGTGCTGGAGTTTATGGTGTCTTGATTGATTTATACAATTTAGTTGGTTTAAGGAGATTATAGCAAGGTTTAAGGAGATTATCCCATTGTCAGGTTAGTTGGCCAGGCGAGGACGGAGAATGAGAGAATGAGGAGAGGTTTGTTTAACAGAGAAAAATAGGACCAGAAATGCTTACACAGAAAAATAGATTTGGAAATTGAAATAACTCTTTGCCCGTTGCAGAAGTTTCTCTTCTTCACCCTTGCATCTTCAAGATAAAGATGTGAGAGATGGCCACTCAACACTGGTTTCAATTTTGATTTTAACTTGAAGCTCCATACATGATGGTATTTCTAAGTTTTGGTGTATTATTTTAGATTGTATGGAATTTTGCTTGTGTACAATTGTAGGGTTTTAATTTTTGATTTTGAGTCAGGACAGTTATACTAATATTATTCTTTTAGAAATTAAATGTATAAAGGTTTATTGATGAAAATAACGAAAAAGAATTATCTATATTATTCTTCAAATGACAATTGTTTAAAGTAATATTGGACAACCGAATATTTTTAAAAAAATAAAATAAATTATGTATAAATTTAAATTAATTAAATTCATATTTTAAATTTTAAAATATTAAAACAGATATTAAGTTAAAATAAATTAAATTAAAGACCTCATCGAGTTGTACAATAATGTAACATTCTATTTAGTAATAATAAAACATAACACGATACTAAATAAACATCAAACTAAATAATTTAATTGTAATTAAAAAATTTAAGGAAAAAAAGAAATTACTAGCGATGCGTTGCCTCTGTTTTACCGCCATGGATATATATCCGGAAAAGAAAACGCGTCCGTGTACAAAGATTTGGCTTCAGCGTAAAAGCTGCAACGATGTCGTTTTTCTCAGCCTCAAGCTGCTCTGGTTTTACAATCGATTTTAGATCCCGCAAGAAGAATTGGTAGTGATCACTGCTCTCTCTCGCTCTCTCTCGCTCGCCATCTCACTGTGGAGTGGGATTTTTGAATGGTGAAAAATGACGTCCCAGAGTGGGAACCGTAGCCCACACTTCTACATCTGGTGTGCGCGGTGGCCCTATTCTCTGTTTTGTTTCAGTCTACAATCGTCTTTCTTTG